TCCCTTGGGGGCATTGGGATTTACAACCTTGTTAAATATGACAGCAGTGTCTTTAAGGCATTCAATCCTATTCACATATATTACTTCTTCAAGAGGAACTCAACTAAGGCTTGGTATGCCCTTGGGGGTTGTATTTTATGCGCAACAGGTAATCAATCTGGAAAAACTTGGACCTTGGGGATGCATGAGAGTTGCTATCTTTCTTTTTTGTAAATTTTCACAACCTTCATAATGAATTTTATTGTCATATTTTAGCCTACACATGGATTTTATACTGGAATGAATTCCTGCAATATTAATTTTTTTCCTTGTAAAAAGTATACAAAATATCTTGAAGTATGATACCCTCACAATATCAAATTTTTGGTTGATATTATATGGTGAACTGGGAACCTATATATTATTGGTTATCACCTACTATTTTCATGTTCTTTACTGATATATATAGTATGTATCAGGTTCCGAGGCAATGTTTGCAGATCTTTGCTACTTTTCTGTGCGATCAGTCCAGGTAAAGAATGGAATAATAATTGGTTTCTGGACCATTGTTTTATTCATTTTAGTTATATGATGCATCAAGTGTCAGAATATGCGGTGTCAGACTGTCAGCCTTCAGATTGTTTGAACTGTAATTCACTGGGTATTTGTTCTTTTCAGCTTACGTTCGTTTTTCTTGTTTTGCCCTGCCTTATGTTGGGTTATTTGGGTCAAGCTGCATACCTTATGGAGAACCCAGATAAAGCTGAGCTAGCTTTCTTTTCTTCAATCCCAAGTAAGCTTTACTGACGCATTTATAGATTCCAAGCAAATTATTCAGTTAGGACTTTCTACAAACATGTCAGTAGTCATACTTATTTCACTGATTCTGGAGAAATTGATTGTGGAGAAATAATACAATGTCGTCTACAGGTGGTTTTTTCTGGCCTATGCTCTTCGTTGCTAACATTGCTGCATTGATTGCTAGTCGTGCAATGACAACAGCCACTTTTTCATGCATCAAACAATCAATGGCACTTGGTTGTTTCCCTCGCCTTAAAATCATACATACCTCCAGGAAGTTCATGGGGCAAATTTATATCCCTGTCGTAAATTGGTTTTTGCTGGTGGTTTGCCTGGTGTCTATCTGCACTATTTCAAACGTTGATGAGATTGGAAATGCATATGGTAATACTCATCATCTTCCAAAGTATTTAGTCTTGTTATCTGTTCAGTTTTTTTATTTGTTTGTTAATAAACTCTAGGTTTTAAATTTGGGTTTCTTGTAGTTGTCATACTAAATCAGCTTTTTCGTGAAAACAACTGTTCAGGTTTGAATTCACCAAACTCTGAAATTTTTTTTTTGGTATCCCCTCACCTAGTATTGCTCACCAAATGTTTTCACAGTTTACTCGACGAACTTCATCAATCGAATTTCTGTCTAGTCAAACTTTGTTTGGTTAGACAATCTTATTATTGTCTTTTGGTTTTCAACAAAATATCTGTTGCACAAAAGTGCCTTGTTGGAATTATGTTATTCCAAAGAATATAATTTTTCCCACTTTTTATTCATTTTTATGTCAACACTATTTAGTCTCCTCTTTCGTACTGCTTGGGTACTTGCTTTCGTTATTTTTTTGTAATTTTATAAGATAGTTACCCTATTTCTTCTGCTTTTTATTCTTGTCATCGCCATAGCCCCCAAAGTTAACCTCTTTCCAATTACCATTTCTATATTTTTAATGTTGAAGAACATATATCAGGCATTCCAAAATTTATCAAGTTCCCTAATTTACATTTTTTATTAAATAAAATTATAATTGATCACAGTATTAAAAAAAAATTATCAAGATATACAAATTGGTATTATAAAAAAAAATAATAATAATAAATTGTGATTAAAATTATCTAAGATTAAATTGATATTTGCAGTCTTTGCTCTTTCTGTTACATGCATAGAATAAGACATCTAAATGTCATGGAATGATTTCTCTTTGTATTTGGTGAATAGGTTTTTTTTTTTTAACCTCAGTACAGTGTCTTATTTTTCTTAGGTTAGATCTACCTGACGGGACATTCTAAATATCTGGCTTTACCGACTTGAGAAATAACATACAGGCGTTTTGAATTATTTCAACAGATAACATCATTTATATGTTTCCTGTATCTCCGTTGTTGAACTTAAGTTTTTCATAAAATCAATTTACATGCGGGTTTTTAAATTTCTTGATACGAATCCTCTTTTACTACAGGCATTGCTGAGCTAGGAGTGATGATGATGACGACCATTTTAGTAACAATTGTTATGCTTCTTATATGGCAGATAAACATTATCATCGTGCTGAGTTTCTTAATAATTTTCCTGGGGTTGGAGTTGACCTTTTTCTCATCAGTTTTGTGGAGTGTGGGAGATGGAAGTTGGATAATTTTGGTGTTTGCCATAATTATGTTTTTGATAATGTCTATCTGGAACTATGGAAGCAAGCTGAAGTATGAAACTGAAGTCAAGCAAAAGCTGTCAATGGATTTGATGCGGCAATTGGGTCCCAATCTTGGGACAATAAGAGCTCCAGGCATTGGTTTGCTTTATAATGAGCTGGTGAAGGGAATTCCAGCAATTCTTGGCCATTTTCTGACCACACTTCCCGCAATCCACTCGATGATCATATTTGTTTGTATAAAGTATGTTCCAGTTCCTGTAGTACCTCAAAGTGAAAGGTTCCTTTTCCGGCGTGTCTGCCCAAAAAGCTTCCACATATTTCGTTGTATTGCCAGGTAATATGCTCAACGCTTCTGATTTGGTAGGGTAGAATGATGCCTTTGTATAATCTAGTGCAAAGTTTAGATCCATAATGTAAAATGGCCAAACCAGTCATCAGAAAATATTCAGCCTTAGTGAGATGTGTTACTTTCTACCAGTGCACTTGACAACAGATGAAGTAGAATCATTCATGTTTACATTCAAAGTGTTTTTTCTTCCGTTTTCCTTTTCATTCTATCATGTCTTGTTGCCTTCTATGTCTGATGTTATGACTTCAACAGGTACGGCTATAAGGATGTTCGTAAAGAAAATCACCAAACATTTGAACAGCTACTAATTGAGAGCCTTGAGAAATTCATACGTAGGGAGGCTCAGGAGCGGTCACTAGAGAGTGACGGGGATGATGGTGATACAGACTCAGAGGACGAGTCCTCTTGCTCAAGGGTTCTTATAGCACCCAATGGAAGTGTTTACTCACTTGGCGTTCCTCTCCTGGCTGAGTTCAACGAGACGAGACAGCAGCCTACATCAGAAGCAAGCACATCAGAGGAGGTGAAGCCAGTGTTTCCAACAGATCCAACAATTTCTGATTCTGAGCAGAGTATTGATAGGGAACTATCGTTTATACGGAAGGCCAAGGAATCGGGGGTTGTTTATCTTCTTGGTCATGGTGATATTAGGGCGAGGAAAGATTCATGGTTCATTAAGAAGTTAATCATCAATTACTTTTATGCCTTCTTGAGGAAAAATTGCAGGAGGGGCACTGCGAATTTGAGCGTGCCCCATTCGCATCTAATGCAGGTTGGGATGACATATATGGTATGAAGGCTGATTTTGCTACGAAAAATAAGGCCAACTTGAACTCTTACACCGGAGTCCGAGACATGCAGCTGGTGTTATGTCACAAGTGGTCTCCATGTAGCGCACGACTTGTTCATTGCTGCAGTTGGAAACCACGAGCTTCTGGAATTTCATTGCCCGATTTGATTGCCGGCCATTTTGGTCCACCACTCGTTTGAGGATGTCGCATGGCTGAAGTTTTGTTACTTTGTACTCGGCTTGTCTTCCAAGCATCGATTTTTGCGGTTATGCATCTGGAAAGTGTGCTGTAATTACGATGTCAAAGTTTGTGAATGTGATTTGTAATGACATCCTTCATCTTCGGATTGATTGACATTGAAATGACTATTATTCCCTTCCCGTTCATATAACTTGTATAGACATTATAGGAAACTGAAATTACATAACCTGCTTTCTTTTTTGATATTGGTCATGTGAGTATATAAACCTAATTTATCCGTCTTTAGCCGTTTTCACCATGATCAATTACGTACAAATGGGAAATGGTAAACACCGTTTTTAGCCTCACACACTTTTGTTTAATGTTGTCCGTTTTCTTTTATTTATTCAACCGATGACCAGAAATAAGTAGGGGTTGAAAAAGGGTGTCGCACAACCCCGAGCCTCTTCTCTGTTTTACCAATTGGTTTTTAATATGAATGCCCACATTCTAATAGTATCAGAAGCACTGTGACTGTTTACATTACTCGAGGAAGTTAGAATGTTCAAAACTTGGTCCTTGCCATGTCATCAGGAAATGGAGCTAATAGTTTTTCCCTTCGCTAAAAGATGGATTAGCAGATTTATCGGAAGGGTGTCTCCCGAATCATTAACAGATGGGATACGAGTCAATTTCACGGTTCGGTTCAGGTAGAGAATTCGTTAGTAACCTATTGAATCATTCGATAGGAAGGAGACAAATGTACGATACATTGATTTGATTCGTTTTAAATTCGTTTGAAAATGTAATTCGGCTTTAAATTTAGTTCAATTCAAGTAGAGAATTCACTAGTAACCTACTGTAACATTCGATAGGAAGGAGACAATGTACAATATATTGATTTGATTCGTTTCAAATTCGTTTGAAAATGTAATTCGGCTCTAAATTTAGTCGATTCATAAACCGTTACAAACGCAGGGTCACGAGCAATCTCACTTCATTTCCCCAACGGGGACCTAACAAAGATAAATATTAGTACCCATTAAATGATAACTAATGTAAGTAGTAACGGTTTCACCCATGTTGAGTTGTTCTGGCATTCTCGGGCAATGAAGTTTGCAACAGAGTGCTTGTGGATGATTTCAAAACAATTCAACCTGCTAGCAATTTAGCATTTATTCAATTGCTTTGATACACGTTTTTATGCATTTCACATAGATATATAATCACTGCTATAAAACACAAATAATTGCTTACAATAAATAAATAAATAAATATGTATAAAATGTATCATTGTAAATATTTTACGATCAGACCAAATTACTCTCAAACAAGTTCAGAATGAATCGAGCCGAAATATCATAATGTCTATCGACTCCCTATCGAATAGCTACAATAGGTTACTAGCGAATTCCGAACACGAACAAAACCATGAACTCAACTCGTACCTCGTATCCGGACATTGCACCAGAACATACTGCAAGAAAAATACCTTCACTACTCAAATTTGAACTTTTATCTAATTCTGCAGTGGATTCCTAAATTCACTTATGCAGTATTGAGTTTGGTCGTTGACCCGTCTTTCAAAAATCTTTTTTCTGAAAAATGAAAGGGTTCGGACCCTTATTTGACGCCAAGTTATGACCCTGCTCCTCCACATCTAGTGGCAGAACTCGCAGAAGCCGATCTTTTTGTTGGCTGTATTATTCTTTCCATTTACCATCAGGAGGAGGATGCTCTTCTTCTGCACTTACGTCGATGAGAAGATCAGATTCCTCATTAGTTTCGGAGCGAGCAGATCCACTATATTTTTGTTCCTGTTTAGAGAACTTGTATCTCAGAAACAATGAATTTGCCATAACCCCTACAGAACTCAAGCCCATGAGGCCTCCAGCAATTGACGGCGTCAGAATGGTCCCAGTTACTGGAAGCAACACTCCAGCAGCAATTGGAAGTCCTACCTGTAAAATTCTAGTAGCATAAGACCGGGTATTGCTTCTAAATAAGCTTCGTAATAAGCTTGTGATATTAACAGGCTCTAATTCCTGTACATTCAGCAGAACGAAACACCAGGAATAAACAGAGTATCGGGCTATTCTTAATCCATACAAGGACTTACAATATTGTATGCAAAAGCCCACCACAGATTTTGCTTCACAGTCTTCATAGTTAGCCTACTCAGCTCCAATGCATCAAGTAACTGCAGGACATTATGAAGATCAAATATCCTACACAACAGTGCTTATTATATGAAAAGAAAGATAACAAATTTTTCCATCAGTGCTCCAGCACTCAACATTATGCATATTTTTCAAATAATCTTTTGTAGACGGTGAAAAGATTTGCGCTGCATTCTTCAATTATTTATTCATACTTGTTGATGGTAAAAGTCTAAAAGCAAATTTTGCTACACGACAGCATGTAATCCTCTACAGTCTGGTTTCCAAAAATAACACTGCAGAATCTGACACCTATTTGTGCTTTCAAAAACAACCCGGAAGGTGATTGTGCAAATAATCGTACTACAATGTTATATTTTTAAGAAAATTACCTGTGAAAGTCTGTTGCCCAATAGCACAATAGAAGACACCTCACTAGCAGCTCCAACACCACCACCCATGGCAATTCCAACATGTGATGAAGCCAATGCTGCAGCATCATTAATTCCATCACCAACCATTGCTACAATGTTCTGATCCTTCTGAAGTTCCATGATGAACTTCTTCTTTTCCGTCGGTTTAACACCAGACATCACCTGCAACCCGCAGCATAGGCTATACAATTGAATTCGATAGAGAAAAAAAATCTGGGATCGAGTTAGATACCGGGCAGCTACTTGGGCATCAGTTTCAAATGAGTTTAGGGATTGAGTATTCTCACCCTTCTATAATGACGGATGCGTTAGCAGCTGTGATTAAGTTTAGGTTTCAAGTCTTGAGGTTTTTGTATTATAGGCTCGATATACAGATTGTGGATACCTTATCCAAAAGTTGTATAGTTTATGATATTATTAAAAATCTGTTTCATTTCAAAAAATAAATTAAAATAAAAGACAGAGGACAAGCTTTTGGTGTTCTGCTTGAAGTTGTTTCACTATTTTTTACATTTTTCCAAATTGATAAAATTTTTGTTTCCCATCAAAGAAATAAGTAATTAAGAACTCCTTACCTTCTCTTTCGGAATACCAACAGCAGACGCGACGTACTCCGCATTATTTCTTTTGTCCCCAGATAGCATGTATACATCGATCCCTTGCTTAGATAAAGATTTAACAACTTGTCCAGCATCTTCCCTTATCTGATCCTCAAAATAAATGAGACCGGCAAGAATACTATCAATGCCAACATATACAATAGATTGACTTGTATGGGCTTCTACTTCTTCAAATGGATTCTCAGTAACTCCATGCCTGCATATATTTAGTTTTTCAATGGGACCTCAATACATGATCCAAGATTAAATTATTTAAGTCATATTAAGAAGGAAAAAAATAACAGAAGAGATCTTATTTGGAAGATGAAAACAACTAAGCCTTTGGTTCCCAAAATTAATTTCCATCGTAAGCAAAACAGTCAATCGATCTTCTGGGGTCATTCAAGACTGCGGCAAACAATCAAGAATAAAATTGAGAATTGGTCCATGAACCAAAAATCTGTTAATTGAGATCCCTAAATTTAACAAAACATGCGCCATTGGTTGCCTTCAATATACCTTCAATTCCCTAACACCAAATGAGCCCTAAAGGTTCTCTAAGATTCTACATATCTTTAGTGAATCTCTAGGATTTTCTTTTAAAGTCGTTTTGATGCCAAAAACCTTTAGAAAATGAGCATCTGTTGAAGTACCTCTATATCTTCTTAGTCTCTCTAAGCTGCTTCTGTTTAGTGCTCCTGTAAGTCGAATCTGTCAAGCATTACTTCCATTTACATTGTTATTTGTATCCTAAAGAGTTCATCGTGATCATAGACAGCACTCTCTTTATGTTGTCCTATATGAATCTAAATTTTCAATAATAGGATTCTAAATTCCCTTAACAATGGTCCAGGGCCAATGCCTATCAGCATTACACCTTTACAAGAAGCAAATTCACATTCAAACATGCAATGATACAAACTATTATATTCCATTATACCCTGTAATTACCTTTGAACCCATTCCAATGTCCCAACAGAAACCTTTTTGTTCTCAATAGTTGCTACAGCACCAGAGCCAGGTTCTTCCAAGAATGTTCCATCTGCAACCTGTCATAAAGTGCACAGTTTAAATCTGTGCATCATGATTTTTTCAGAACCTTATCCAGCTAAAGCATGCACTTAATGATATGATCCTCTTCTAGAACACCAAGGATTTGTTCACGGAACTGCATTCTTTCTTTTTCTTTAAGAGCTGATGCTCATATAGGGGAGAAATTAAATGCAGAACTCCAGCACCACTCTATACAAAAATCCAGCCCAGTTAAGACAAAAGCACACTAAGGGGACATCCTTAAAGTGCTTAGACCAAAGATTCCCAAACAGATACAATATCTAGTTGTCCCAAATAAAATCCATTACTTGGAGAAAATATAACCTGTAAATAGAAACAACCACAAGCAACACCTCACTCGGCATAACTTGCATTCCGATCCATCCAAAGGAGAATAGCACAGTGGGTTTTTGTGAATATAATAGAAACTTGAAACGACGACAAAGAACCCCGATATGCAATCATCAAGGAGAAAAAAAAGCATAAGGTTCACTTCTTAAGAAACTTTGACTTGTATTAAATCCCGTATGGAATGCACTCCAGAAAATTATTTTGCAAAACACTCAAAATCCACATCAACTGTCTATGGAACCAGATATATTCAGTTAAGTTAAAGATAAAATGATCCATAAGAAGCAAATTTAGAAATCTTGAGAAGAAGGAACCTTCATATTCTGACAATTAAGAGCCTGACTAGCTTCCACAATAGCTTTTGCAACAGGATGAACTGTATTCGATTCTACTCCAGCAGCAAACTTCAGAACATCAACTTCTGACCAAGTATGGTTTATCTTTTCTCTGTTAAAAGAAAAAAAAAAATCACTCCATCTTTTTTCTTAGTGGCAAACCCTAGTAAGAAAATCTCTGAATTGGAAACAGTCTGGATCTGAGCTAACTGTAAAGACTTATACTTTTTCAGACAAAGATAGTGTTCTAGTACAGGGTAATACGTGGTTATCTTTCTAGTCACTAAAAAGATGAGTTATTTGTTCGAGTTGTGCCTCTAATATTTCAAATCCCAAAAACAAATCATGCATGAAAATTCATTTGGATCCTCAAAACTGCAAAAATTGTCGCAGAAGACACAAATTTAGTAGTACAGGTAAAATGTGAAACAGATCAAACAAATGCACTGTACCTAGATACAGATATGATTCAGCATGCAAAGCCACTGGATAGTTTTCCAATCAAGGAAAGAATTGGTAATCCACAAGTCACTAAACCACCTAAGCACATTCATCAACACATGTAGCTAGATTGCAATCTAGAAGCAACCTGACTTAAGAGTCTAAGACACGGCTCAACTATGCAGGACGAACAGTTTCAGTAAACTGTTTCCTTGTTGACTTTTGTTAATTCCCTTCGAGACATGTTTCTTATTGTAAAATGGAGAAATTCAAAGCTTAAAGGCACCCAATATATAACACAAAGTTATTGCGTCAACATGTTTAGCACAGTCCTTCCAAAACCTTTTTAGAAAATTAAGTTATCAGAGAAGTTGTTTAGGGTTTAGGTATTGATTAAAGAGATTTTTTTAGTATGATTCAAGAACATATTTGTTATTTTATTTTACTTGTTCCACACCATCACCTGATTTTTTTTGCATTTTTTTTAGGACCTGGGCTACAGGAAATTAAGAGTTGTGAATTCCCTGACTATAAGTTGGTAAGGGTCGATGAGATCCTTTTGATATCATGGAAAATTAAAGCAACCCTTTTTCTATGTCACTGGAAAGCTTCAAATAAATTTAATATCCTTAAATGAAACAGTAATGTGAGAATGAAGACTTTTCACGACTCAACTTTAAGTCAGTAACTTTCGAACGTTCAGGAGTCACAATCTTAGTCACAACAGGTTTGCCCACTGTCAGAGTCCCTGTTTTATCAAACACTACAGTGTTCACCATTGAAAACTTCTCTAAAATACTACCGCCACGCAAAAGTAGTCCTCTTTTAGCTCCCAACGAAGTCCCAACCTGGAAAGAACTCAATACTGAAGATAAATTTGACATATCATAAGCAAGAAAATTCAAATTTAGAACTTATCAAACAAGTTTAAGGAGGTAAGGATTTTGTTCAGATAGTGTGTGCCTACCTTACCTGAGGTTGGGTGTTGGGAGTAGTATCTTTAAAATTCAATTGCTTAAATGCAAAGTAAATTGCGTTCACAAGTTAGCATATCCCTCCTGTTCTATTTATCATTTTATGGAATCATATATAGTTCTAATTCAAACATAAAACAGAAAGAGTTGGATTCGAAATCTGAGCCCTTAAAAGTGTTGCAATCAAAATCTTGAATTGGTTAAAGTTTAAACCATTCTATTACAAACACAACAGAAATAAAAATTTAAGGTCTAATAAGCACAAATCATTTCTAAGTTGGTAATGGCCGAAACAGTTTTTTATTTTTTATTTTTTTCAAATAAGAAAAGTTGTGTGGCAGTGATTAGAGTTTGCAACGAGATTACCAGCACAGCTGTAGGTGTGGCTAGCCCAAGAGCACATGGACAAGCAACAACCTGCAATCACAAAAACAGAGCTTCACCAAAGGCTATTTTACACTTACGAAAAGTAAAATTGCAAATAGTACCTATCTTGTTTTTTTTTTTTTTTTTTTTTTTTTTTTTTTTTTTTTTTTTTTTTTAATATATGATGCCCTTCATGGCATTCAAGAATCAGGGTCCCTTTCAAAATTTTAAGCGAGATAAATCATAAACCTCTAATTCATACCAGTACACTGCAAGAGAGTTGCAATGCTAACGAAACTGAATTTCCTCCGTGAAAAGCAGCAGGTAAAATATGACCACCAATCAAGCTCCAAAATAGAAATGTAGCAGCAGAGAGTGTCATTACTCCATATGTAAAATGTCCAGACACCTGGTGAAACCAAAGAAATCAAAAGATGAGCACCATTCTAGTAAGTGCGATCAACAAATTATATTACCACAATGCTAAGCATGTAAGTTACTTGGTTATACTTGATTCAATTTTTTGGCTCTGCAACAAGAAAAAGAATATAATAAAAACAAATAAGAGAACACAAATATATATATATATATACACACACGAAAGACAAACACTAGTAAGCCATACATTGAATTAGAAGAAGATAAAAGTTATTGGAATACCAACTGACAAGTGTATCTAACCTATATCCAACTATGTCGGTTCAAGGCACACTTTGGGGCCAACACCAACCCAAGCCAACCCCTGTGCACCCCTATACAATATGCTAGTTTTATAACAATACCTTATTTTGGATATCTCTACTGCAAAATTGCAACTGTAAAATACTCTGTCCAACTACTGTAAGAAAGAATGGATAACCTTGTCGGCCAAGCGCTGTACAGGAGCTTCCCTACTCTGTGCTTCTTCTACCAAGCGAACAATGTCTGCCATAGCAGTCTCACCACCTGGTCTCTGTACTTCAACTGTAAGAGTGCCATTGAGATTTATGCTTCCGGCGGCAACTTGACTCTAGCATAAAGATAAAATTCTCCAACATTGTGATAACCTCATATCAAGGTAGCTTTTATAATTACCTAAGTGAATTTAAATATGTGCATAGAAGATAGGGGAAAAAGGCACATGCTCATAATAAGCAACAACATACCCCAGGTAGTTTGGTTACAGGCAACGGCTCTCCTGTAAAACTTGACTCATCAATGATACTCCTACCAGCTTTAACAATTCCATCTACTGGAACACGGTCCTAAAGCAATGCAAAAAGGAAACTATAACTGCATGCCACAGTTCGGAATTTTAAAAGGATATATAATTCACAACTATTTTATCCTTTGCATCAGAAGCTGGGAGACTAACGATCCACAAAATAAAAGTGGCATCCAACAGAAAATACCAAATTTAGCAAAGGACAAATCAAATAAGAGTATAACTGATATAGTCATGTAGAGGTGGTAGTGGGTACAGAACATCAAATAGCAAAAGCAAGATTGTATCATGCTTACTTCCTCCAAGTAGGGCTGAGATGATTAAAAACATTAAATACTAAACGCAAGATGATGTAATACTTACTCCAGGTAGTACAACAATTTTATCTCCAACAGAGAGGCTGTTAGTAGAAACTTCAACTACTGATTCCAACTCTTGTTCACCGTTATTGACCAAAAGACGTGCTTTTGACGGTACAATACTAAGAAGTTCAGTCATATCACTGCTTGCTTTGATTTTAGCTCTTTGTTCAAGATTCCTCCCTAACAAGACGAATGCTATCAACATAATTGGTTCCTCGAAGAAAGTCTTCCAGCCCTGCGTCCAGAAGGTCCATTGAACAAGGCTACGGAGTTAGCAAGCACAATGCACAATTTTTTATTAAGAGACATAAGTTCCCTTTTTTTTTTTTTTTTTTTTTTTTTTTTTTTTTTTTGTGTGTGTGTGTGTGTGTGTGTGTGTGTGCATGTGTTAAGGAAAAGGATATGCATAATTTTAAGTGAAATACAAATTTAGCCAAGTCTATCAAACTTTGAGTTTATAAAAAGAGAAGGAGGCAGAAAGGGAGGGCAACGGAAAGGGGCAAATTTACTTTTTTTACAACAGAAATATAGACATTGTTGGGTCGTACACAAACATAGGGCGAGTAATTAGTCTAAAACCAAGTGTTTGGGCCAGGTCATCCAAACTTTAACCTGTTGAACCAACATGACTTCAGATATTATGTACTAAAAGAACTAGTTAGTTGGAATTGGAGCCTAATTGACTTGATAGCCTAAACAGTTAAAGCATAAGATTATTCCTCAAGAATGCATGTGGGAACAGAGATAAACATATGTAATCCCCTTCTACACATTCAGTTACTTTCTAGGCTACACCTTGCAAAGATCAGCAATGAAACATTTGTAATGAGTTTACAAACACGGATTTACGCTGCAGGTGGATGCTACCATTAGAGAATAACAGGCAATCTTAAATAAGAATCTTTGTTCCATTAAACGGTGAACAGACCAAAATTCTTGGTATTGACATAAAACAGTTTTGACTATTCAAAACACATGACAATAATATATGTATCAAGCCAGTCAACTTATAACAGAGGATCCTTACCCATCCACCAATAGAAATTAAATGTTGCAGATCCGACTAGATCTGGAACCCAAAAAATATAACAAGAAAGACCAGCACTAACCAGTTTTGGTATAAAGGCAGCTAATGAACTGACAGTAAATGATGATAAGGCCCCTAGACCAACCAAAGTATTCATGTTTGGAGCCCCTTTAACAAGACTCCTCAAACCATCAAAGATAAGTCGACGCCCAGGACCAAGCAATGTAAATAGACATAAGGACAAATGGAATCCTGTCGAATGAAGCGCATGGATCCATGGTGCCTTAGCCCCAAAGAAATGAGATGCATGGCCAACTAGGCAGACAGCACACAGAGCCCAAGAGAATGCAAGCTCATTTCCTAACAAAAGAAAAGGCAAAAATTAGCTGCACGGTGTATGCATATTAATCATAAGTGCTTAACGACATGAAGCCTTGATGTAGTTTACAAGAAGTTTAGACACACTTTAAAAATATAACAAGTAAACTACAGATGCTCACTACTTAAAGATGTCTACCACTTTCTTTTAGGCGTTTACGCTTTTCTTCCATTTTCCTTTCAAAAACTTTGAGAAAATTGTCTCGTCCTGAATCTGCACACAAGAATAACAAATTAGTTCAACCACTACACAGAATCATTTTTTTTTTTTTTTTTTGTCAAATACACAGAATCAAATTAGTACATTGGGATAATAATCAAGTCCTCTTGCCATGATGGAGATTAAAGATGACTGACATGAAGAGCCATATCTTACAAGAATGTATGTTTGGGGTCTTGAATTTGGTAAGTATCCAGTATTTCCAATCAAAATGTGAATCTAGGAAAGAAAACACGTCTTCATCACACAAAGCAAAACCTAACAGATTGATAGAATCTATTTGCCACAATAGACTAAAATTTCCAGGTTCACAAATAGATGGTGCATAATGGACAGTGTTGTTCACACCAAACAACAAAAACAAGATCATATATTTGAAGCACTGAAGAAAATAAAAAATACAAAGGGATGACATTCATTTTCCATTGCCAATATTCTTTTCAAGAGAGTCATCTGTTCCCTTTCAATTTACGAACAAAGAACTTCCATGGAAAAACAGATTGGAGATGCAAACATCTAGGTAGAGACACAAGAACAGCTTACCAAGCAGGGATGGGTAACAGCCAAAGAGTGGAAAACTATCTAACAGTGTACCTAAACAAAAACCATCTTGTTTTCTCGATAGATGAAAATTATTCTCTTCCTCTAAAACTACATCGTCGGAATGGAAGGCAGAACTGCATGATGCCAAAGAGTAACACCCTTTTTGGTTTATCCAGCAATTTAGGTCGGCAAGGAATAGGAGTTTCTAGGCACATCATGCACTACACCTGGAAACTCCTTTTTGAAGTGTCTTGTAATTTTTATTTCAGCATGAACTGCCTACCAACAAGATCTTGTACTTTAGTTCAGAACTTGTACTTCACTGTATTATGACTTGAAGAAAACTAATAAAGACGAGTAAGAACAGCCCCATTTCTGTGCCAAACACTTTGACAAAGAGATAAGCCTTGGAGAGATGTATTTCCAAGGGTACCATAAGGAAGATCCTCAAACGATCGCCCTTGACAATACAATTTGTATATGCTCCTAATGAAGGAACCAGGAATCAACTGGAAAAGCCACTGACCATTTATCTAACGCTTTATTTACTTTCCACGTGAAGTAGGATTGCTGCTCAAAACTGATTGTATCAAGGTAACATCTGTTGTACTTTTATGCGCAAACGGAAGTGAATTCTAACAAAGTACCAATATCAACGTCAAGGAATTTCACTAAACAAACAGAGATTACAAAAGTGTTTAAGCTCTCACAACCCAAATCCCACAAATTGACCCTCACCAAATTGCCACACAAAATACACTAACCCTAAGGTCTTATTTATAGTGCATAGGACTTAGGTTACAATAAGAATCCTAAGAGGAAGTAAATACAAATCCTAATAACATAGGTAATTAACAAAATCTCTCCACCAAGGAAACCAACTAAGAAGTCAAAATCCAAACCCAAATAGGACACCAAAACCAAACAGGTAACACCAACAATCTCCACCTCAGCGAGAAATTAGCAAACTTCCAAATCACATACACACATCAAATTTGGGATACCAAAATACAAACGCAAATGTGCACCAAATTCTTTTGAAACTGATCTCCACTTAGAATCAAAAAACCAAAAGTCTTCAAACTTGAAATTTCCTCCAACGCCTTCTCCAACAAATTCCATTACAAAAACTAACAAATACGAAACAAAATCCAAGCAAAAGCTTGAACATACAAACAAAAGTGCGAATTGCACTCCACCCAAAGGGTTGAGTACCAAGCTCCACCTCCTCACATAACCTTTAGAGGAGTTCAGAACAAAGATCTTCTACAATGTTTGCAACACTAGCAAAAGACTTATCAAACGGCTTCTTTTTGCCCTTGAGTTTAGGGCAATCTACTTTCCAATGACCTTCCTTATAACAATAGCTACAAGTGTTCTTTCCAAGTTTGCTCCTTTCCTTATTTCTTCCTTGAACTACCAAAGCTCCATCTTGTGTGTCAGACACTTTATTCTTTAGCTCTTTAGAATTCAAAGCGACTTTAACATCTTCCAAACTAAGGCTTTGTCTACCAAATAGCAATGGTATCGACAAAGTGTTCATACGAAGGAGACAAAGAACACAAAAAAGTTATTGCATAATCCTCATCACTAATTTGGTCGTCCAAACTTTTCAAATCCATCATAAGTTTATTGAATTCATCATCATGCTTATGAATTGACGTACCTTCATCCATACGAAAAGTATGCAAACTTTTCTTCAAATACAACCGTTTAGCCAATGATTTGGTCATATACAAGCTCTCCAATTTTAACAACAATTCCAGCTCATATTTGATGCTACCAACTTCACGCAAGACTTCATTCGATAAAGTCAGCAGGATTGCTCCAAGTGCCCGCTCCATAACATCTTCTTTTTCTTCATCAGTCCACGAATTCGGCAAAGCCTTCACACCGTTTAGCGTTTTTAAGAGCCCTTGTTGAACTAACAAAACACGCATCTTCAATTGCCAAATACCAAAGTCATTGCCGTCGAATTTTTCAATATCAACTTTCACCGAAGACACAGAAGGCTTCATAGTGACTACCAAGCAAAGCCCAAGCCGAAACCTGGGCTCTGATACCACTTGTTGTACTTTCATGCGCAAACGGAAGCGAATTCTAACAAAGTACCAATATCAACATCAAGGAATTTCACTAAACAAACAGAGATTACAAAAGAGTGTTTAAACTCTCACAACCCAAATCCCACAAATTGACTCCCACCAAATTGCCACACAAAATACACTAACCCTAAGGTCTTATTTATAGTGCATAGAACTTAGGTTATAATAAGAATCCTAATAGGAAGTAAATACAAATCCTAATCAAATAGGTAATTAACAAAATCTCTCCACCAAGGAAACCACGTAAGAAGTCAAAATCCAAACCCAAATAGGACACCAAAACCAAATAGGTAACACAAACCTAATTTTTGCATCATCCTAATTTTGAGCCATAAAACCCAACATCCCCCCTTGTAAAGACTATCCTTCAACTGTACATACCTCTTAGTTGTTCATTTGTGTCATTAGTTATAAATTTGTAGTGAGCCGACTTTTAGGCTTGTATAACTACTTTCCTTTACTTTCTTTTATTATATGCTCTCTTTAAAATAGCTTTCTTGAAGAAGAAAGAACCAGCAAATTATCTAATTTACTTTGCCTCTTGATGTAGGACAACTGGAATAGATAAGAATATAAGAAAAGATCTGAATTCACTCCGACCTAGTAAAACAAATAACAGAAACAAGGAATAAGAAATACAAGGCCAAATCAAATAGGGCGTAATTTATTCCTTGGTTTGAAGGATGCTTACATCAACAGAAATTTAGTCTTTGTAAATAGCGACACCTCTACCACGAAGTACAGATTACAAAAACAGAAGAGAAAATATAGAATGCTTTCCATAATTGTAGATAAGCATATACGAACACTAGCAATGCCTATGGGCAAACGATCAGTCTAATTCTCAAATATCTTATGCATAGAATACAGCCAACTTCTAGAAAGACAGGAGTCCTCGATTTCCTAATGACAACCAAGGAATTGCTAATCTCGGAGAGTAGAAGTGGAATCGAAAATCCTCCAAAACCAAATAGGTGCTCCATAATAGAAATGCTGCTCAAACTTATCCACCAAATTGAGCTGCTGGTTGAGACTACCTAAAGAAGCAAGTAGTTCTGAATCAATAACGATTTTCAATCCTCTTTTGTTGCATCTGATAAAGTGGAGAGATGTAAGACATTATGCGTACATACACACCACTGAAATTAAATCCAACAGTTTGAGGACATACCATAAACTATTATGGTTCAGCCTGACAAGAAATTGTTTGCACTTTTATGGTGATATATCTCCTTCCGTAGCTCCCTCACCTGCCACTAAACCCAGAAAGCTTCACATAAATCATTTGGAAATCCTAAGCTGGTGAAATGTATACTCTTATTTTAAAGCTATGGGGTTCTAATTGGACAACCACAAGTAAAGAAACAACACTCGAAGGACTAAATAGATAATAGTCTTTTGTATTCAGCTGACCCAGTAAACCGCTATGAATACTATCGTCATTTCTAAAGCAGCACAAAACCTACCCCCACTCAGTTTCTGTGGAACTTGTTTTGTGGATGGATAGCAGCTGAAACAATTTCAACCTTCCACAGCAATTGTAATATTATGACAACAGTACAACCCAAAGTTTACGAAACTTCGATCCTCCACTTCTCAAAAGGATATAGCAAATTCCGCAGCATTACAATTTTTTTAGATGTAAAAGGGGCGTGCTTGAGTACCAAGAAAAGAGAAAGAGCCTTCTGGGTTTGAAATCAAACAGAGACAGAAAAGAAACCCTTTCAAGCAAGATCGATCCTTCTCATTCTCTTATGTCTGACTTTGTTTTTCTTTTTGCACCCTTTTCGCTGTCAGAACCAAAATTTCATTAAAGAACAAAAGCATAATAAAAAACCAAAGTTGACCCGAGGTCCACCAACAAACTGATACAATCCTCAAAAACAGAACCAAAATACTCACACACATTGCATTACAACTTGAAAAGCTACCCTACAGCAACTACCCAATCTGATAAAATTATAGAAAATGATAGATCACTAAAAGCTAGAGAAACAGAAGCCTAAAATGATGCTCAGAACCTGACTGAAGAGTTTTCTTTTACATCCCCACTATAGTTCTCAAAGATCTTCTATTTCTTGCCAACCAAATTACCCAAAAGAAAGCTAACACAATGCAACTCCACAAATTCTTGCCTTTTTTCCACCACCAAAGCATACCCTTTTCACAAAAATGTGTGAAGGTGACTGAGGAATAACCCAATGAACTCTTGCTTCCCCACCCTAACTCACTGTCACCAATCTCAATGCATATGGACAATGTGGAAACGAATGATTTCCAAGTACTTCCTCTTTGTTGCACAAAATACACCAACGAGGAGACGAGCAAAAAAGTGATCTTCTTGGTACCAAAGCACAAGTATTTTCCCTTCCATGAACTACGATCCAAACCAAAACATGAAACTTGGTAGGACCATTAGATTTCCAAATAATTTAAGTAGACCGGAACTCAGGAAGTGATTGTTTGTTAGACAGAAAATTTTAAAATTTCTTAAAGGAGAACCCCTGATGAATCCAGTTTCCACTTACTCCTAGCTGGTCTCATTTTGCAACTCAGCAATCTAAAGATGAAAGCCTAGTCCTCCTACGCACTCAACTAATGTGTTAACAAAACTCTGACAGCCAACATCAGACAATCGCCACTAAATGTCTGCCAATATAAGTTAATCTTAATCAACATTATGTTAATGTGTCAAGAATTTCAAGAACATCTAGCATTAAAGATTAACACTTTCGTGTTTTCAATTACTAAAAAAGTTATGTTGTCACTGATTCATGCAATGTTAGTCTAAGCAGACTCTAAAGCAACATAATTTCATCACACTTTTCCTAAACATGTATAACTAACACTGAAAACACACTCGAAGAAAATAATCCGCAAACTTTAGCAATGCCCTTGAAAATTAAAAAAACTAGCCATTACAAGGATTAACCAAACATACAACTTTCCAACAAATGAGAACCATGGAATTCATTCGTTCATATGAACAATAAATAATCGTAACATGCTGAAAGCGAAACAATTGTGAAATGCTTACCACGAAGGTTAGACTTGAAACCGCAACTGGTCAATTGGTTTGCAAGTGTCTCTCCTAGCTGCTTTTGCCAGTTTGGTGCAGCCTTCGCTTCGGACACAGGCCACACAATTGCCGTCTCTGTTGTGAGATTTACACTCGCAGACGACACCTGAGGCTGCCATATATACATACACACATATATGCCGGGTATTAAACTTACTTGAAACTTTGATAGCAACCGAAATACATGTCAATTAAAGATGAAAAATGAAATTAAACTTACTTGATTTTCTAGAATTCGCTTCACACTGGCTGCACATCCCCCACATGTCATTCCCTATCCAAGAAAATCACCAATCAATCAGATTGAGTAGGAGGGAGGGAGGGGGAGAGAGAGAGAGAGAGAGAGAGATAGAGAGAGAGGGGTTTAATAATAGTGTATTCATACTCCAACATCGAGAATAATGACATCAGTGGAGAGCACCGAAACCTCATCGCCTCCAGCAGCAACAAACTTGGACTTGGCATCGCCGCCGCCGGAACCTCCCTCGCCGTCACCGCCGCTGCCGCCACTCTCTCCGCCAAAGCCACCATTTCCACCACCAGAGGCAAATGAAGCAGCGGAGCTACCAACACACTCTAAACGGCGCCGTAAGAGCGGATCAACGACGCAGAGACTCCTCAGAGACAAGGAAGAGAGAGGATTAGGTTTAGGGGTCTGAAAGCCGTAGTAGTTGGTGTGAAGGGAAGTGAGGTGCCTGCGAGCAAGGAGACGACTGGGGAGGCGTTGACTGAGGAAGGTCCTGGCGAGTCGGCGGTTGAGGGATTTGGAGGCGGCAAGGAGAGCTGCCGTTGTGGGCGTCGCGGCGGACAATGTGGCCTCCATTGACATTGAAAATTTGGGGTGATAAATCACCGCGGCTCCTCGCAAAGTTTCAAGTGCTTCTCCTCTACAATCTATCTTATCATCTGAAAATATTATATAATTGTAATAGTATTAAATGTGATGAGATAATCGCAGGAGGAGCGACACGAGAACAATAACGTCGCTGTGACAATCGAATCAAATATGTTAGGTGTGGTGGTTGTGCGTTTTAAATGTGGAACATGAGTTCATATTTTTTTAATAGATTACTAGCAAAGAGTTCATACTTTGTGTGTGTGTGAACAACCGTCCATATTTTATCTACGTTCTTCTCAAGCGCAACCGTTTCAATTCATTCAAACTATCCAAAAAACATCAAATTTCTAAAAAGAGTATGAGACAATGATGATGTGATCTCTTAATAAAGGCATATTTTTCTTAATATTTCATAATTATCATTTTGCCATCTTTATGTAAATATTGTATATCAAAAGTGAGGGTAAAATAGAAAAATAGGGATATGATTGTCATTTTGTCAAAAAAAATACAAAATTACAATTTTGCTCTCCTTTTTGTCAAGAGTGTGTCTTAAAAGTGAGGATAAATTTGGAAAAAAAGTGGCAAAAAAGTTGACAATGAGGGTTATCTTAATTGATAGTAAAGACACTTTTAAAAACAAAGAAATGCCAAGGAGACTCAAACTCTTAATAGACATTCCTGTCACTTTATTTTTTTTCTTAATATTTTATAAAATTGACATTAAACTGTAAGGTGACCAAAAGTCCATGACTAGTCCCACTTTGAGAGACTCTCTTAGCATTTTTCACGACTAAAATGACCAGAAATTAAGTTATAATGTTGAGCTGATTAAAATTAAATACAATAAAACTTTTACAAAGTCATAAATTTGAGATTAAACTAATTTTATAACTTGGCAAAATTGAATTAATGGTCCCCTAGTGATAAAGTATTTGAAAGATAGCATCTGGTAACCCAAAAAAAAATTAAGATGTTAATTATCGTGATAAATATTGGTAGCAAATTTGATCCAAAAGTGAGATTTTCGTTAACTCTCTATTAAATGTCGGAATAAAAATGTCCAACCTTTTCCTTTCTCTCTCTCTCCATATCTTTCTCGAAGGGAATTGGATCCCATCTAGATCCACTTTGTGAAAGTCCTAGGAATCCCCACATCTTAGTCATTCATCGTGTATTGTGTAGTCAGAAATCATTTGATTTTTTTTATTTAAAATTAAACACAAATAATAAATAACAAAAACTGGTCGCACGATGTACGATGTACGGCTAGAATGTGAGGATCCCCACAAAGTGGATCCCGAGAGAATCCTCTTCCTTCTCAAAGTTAGCTTTCTCTCTTCCCAAATCCATGCTCAACAGTCCTAATGGCTTGTCCTCTCCACAAAATTTGGTATTTATTATCTAGCTAGGTCTCAGCATTCCTTAATAAGAGATTGAAGAAGTTGTAAGTAGAGACCAATGGATAAATCTCTTCACCTCTGCTATCAACAAGTGCTTTTCATGATCCATTAGAGTTAAATCTTAACAGTTTTGTATAAATCCATAGCTACAAGATTGGGGTTGGACATTGTTAAGCCAAAGGTCTGCCACCAACAATTCAATTTCCTTTTCACCATGCCAATTTTAAAAGTTATTTTTTCTGAAGTATGACGAAGCCCATCAAAGTCAATAAATTGTGTACCCTTATATGTAATTCTACTATGTCAATGTGCTAAATTTAACATGCAAGATCCATTACACATAGAAGAATTATGTCAACCAAGTGATCTAATGGATGGTGTTTCTCTCCTAGTTGTCTACTTTTCTTAGTCACAGTGCCAATAAACCTAGTGGATGGCATGTCTCTCCTAGATTTATCTAACTATTAGGATGCAAAATTTTTAAGGGTGATCAGCCATTAGAAACTTGAATGTAGAATAGATTAATTACAAAGATTAAGAATTTAACATAACTATAAATTGAATACAAATCAACAAAGTACTTCACAAGTATCCATGTCATGACTTCATCATAAACCTTAGCAAATAGCTTAGTTACACATAGAAATAAAAATAAAACAATGACCCTATTTATTCTAGAAAAACCTTAAAAGGTCTGATAGAAATTCTCCTAAAAAGAAACAAATTTCTAAACAGTTAATGATACAAACTAGGAAAAAATTCTTCTTGGCTTGGAAAACATGTCGTTTGTTTTGCATGCCTGTTTTGGGTTAGATTCAGCTTCTGGAAATTTCTGAAGAAAAAATAGGAAACTTGTAGTTCTATGTCTTAGTTTTCCAAGCACCTATCACCTATTGCTAGGAAAAATCAGGAAAGACTTTGAATCTTCATTCTCCCACAATTGCGCAATTTTGACGGGGTTGTAACTATCGCGGGATTAACTTGCAAAACTAAAACAAACTTCTTCATGGAAAATTATGAAATTTTGAGACATCCTCTTAGCTTCCTTCAATTGGCCTTACACCAAAACTCAATAGGAAAGTTGATTTATCATAGAAAAAAAAAAATCTCAAATGCATAGATTGGTGAAATTGGGAAAATGAAAGTAAAAAGGCTCTTTTAAAATCACTTCCTTAACAAAACTTAGAAATAATTGATTTGTCGTGAAAGAAATAAGGTTCGCCAGATAATGAAAGAACCACCCTTATTGGCAGCTTTTGTTGGTAACGTTTCAGAGGCATATGAACTTATTGATGAGTTAGAAATGGAAGCACAAATTTTAGGGCACTATACAATAAAAATTTAGTTGAATGTGCCCATACATATGTTGATGGAAAAAATTGAAGGAAATCATTTGAGGTTTACATCTGTTGTGCACAGTGTTTTAAAAGGCTCGCCTCAGGCCGCGCCTAGGCGGCCTCTGAGGCTAGGTGTTAGTGTTCCCGCCTCTGTTTTAAAGGAGTAGGCGAAAGGCTTTGCTGGGGACGCCAAGGCGACGGAGGCGAGCCTCAAGGCATCCAGGCATCTTATTTGGCATTTTTTATTTTTTATTTTTAAAACCTCCCAAACCCAAAATGACGTTGTTTGGGTAGGGGGTTTTTAATTCCATATCTCATCTCTCTTCTTCAATCGTGTCCTCTCTACCTTGTTCATTCCTCATTCTTCCACGCATGCAATTTCACCAGAGCACACAGCAACATCAGCCGCCGCTAGCTTGGAGCAGCAACAGTCGCCAACTTCAGAGCAACACCACTGTCACCCAACAACAGTGCCGTCAGCAAGCGCCCACAAATCTCCAATTTTAAAGGTTAGGGTTCCTGAAAAAGTTTGCGATTTTGATTTTTTAAATTTTTTTATATAGTTTGTGTGTGATCTTACTGGCCTATGCTGTGCGATTTGATCATTTGAATGATTACTTGAGGGACCTACTGTGCTTACAAAACTGTTGTGCATAATATATAGATTTTATATAGTTTCGGTGTAACTGCAAATTACAAAACTGCTGTGCATTAGTAGGTTATAGACATATAAATGCCTATTTAGTAATTACACTAGTGTGAAAGTGTGAAGTCACGGTCCCTATAAAAGCCTAATTATTGTTTGTATAGTATGTTCATATAATTATAAGAAGTCAAGACATATACTTTCACGGTCCCTATACAAGTGTGAAGTCAAGACATATAAATGCCTAATTATATAGTTTACATATTATGTTCATGTGGCCTAATCATATAGTTTTGTTTATATATTATTTAGGCATTGAAGCATATGCATTGAAATGCTTGTATTTTGATTTAGATGAAGAGGATTTGGATGAATGATTGATTTCTTTATTTGTATTACCTTTTGAATAATGAATTTGGATGATATCACCTTTGAATGATGAATTTAGATGATATTATCTTTTGAATGACTATGAATTTGAATGATAAATTGAGAATAGATGTTTATTTTACAGAGTATTATTTTTTTTATACAATTATATGTTTAATATATAAAACATATATATTTAAAAAATTTAATCCCGTGAAAGTTCGCCTCATGTCTAGGTGGGACTATCCCTCGAATGCCTCGCCCACGCCTCGGCCTTTTAATACATTGGCTGTGCAAATGTAAGTTTTGAACTAATTTTCCTTTCGTGTTTAATGCATAAGTTCTTTTTTATTTTTAATACTAATAGTTTTCTATATTATTGTTTAATATGCAGGATTACACATGACATCATTTTAGTTATTTTCCTGGAGTCGAGTATGTTATGGACTGCCAAAATAATTCTTGTTGTTGTCCATACATCCCTCGAATGAAATATTTCAAAATGACCAAATGGGTTTTTTACATGGGATCTAGCGCTTTTACTGCAACCCCGGTGTTTAAAAATATATGTATCGATGGAAATATCGATATACAAATTTGTAGAAATATTGATGGATAAATCCATATAGATTTCTATATCAGTTGCTTTTGATGGAAAACATGAAAAATTTAAAATGAAACTTTAGGGAATGTTAAACACTGGTTTGGATGAAATATAAGAGTTTCTTAATATTTAACAGATACATCTAAAACATTGACAAAATCTGTCGATTTTAATCGAAATTTAAGAGTTTTTCCAGTAGGTGCTGAAGTTTAGACCTTATCCCTTTTTCTATATCGTTCTTTGATTTTATGGATATTTCTATGAAAATATCAACTATATTGAAGAAATTTCAAACACGGACTGCAATCAATTACTTCGAAAACAAATATGGTAGAAGTGTTACACAATTGAGTTCTGGGTTTTTGTGCAACTTACTCACTGAACGAGAAAGACTGAAGTATAACAAGTTCCATGTTTTGTTCAAAATTGGACTAAAGAGTCCTACTACTGGTCCACCTTTCAGGAGTACGTTTTTATATTATTATATTATATAGAATTTATTTTAGTTGGATAAATATTATAAATGTCTAATATCTTTACTGTTATAAATATTGATAAATATCTAATATCTTACCGAGGCAGTTACTAGGAGGAGTAATTTACATGGAACACCATCATCATTGTTATTATGAAAGACAAGATATTTATAGGGTCTGATTCAAGGATTTTAGCACGTTTCTAGTGATACAAAACGAATAATTTGCTATGAAAAAAAGAAAGTTTCTCATATAATGAAAGAACCACCCATATTGACGACTTTGGCTAGTAAAATTTTGGAGCCATATGAACTTATTGATGAGTTAGAATTGGAAGCACAAATTCCAGAGCACTACACAACAAAAATTTAATCCTTTATTTCTGTAAATATACAGAATAAATTGAAGGAAATCATTTGAGGTTTACATTGCAAATGTAAGTTTTAAACTAATTTTCCTTCCGTTTAATGCATAAGTTCTTTTTAATTCTTAATACTGATAGTTTTTTTTTTCCTGAAATTGAGCATGTTATGGACTGCCAAAATAATTCTTCTTTTATTCATACATCCCTCGATTGATTTATTTCAAAATGACCGAAGGGGTCTTTCGTATGGGAACCAACGCTTTTACTGCAACTAATATTTAAAATATCGGTATTAGTGAAAATATTAATATACAAATTCGTATAAATATCAATGTATTATCGATTTCGATATCGGCTACTTTTGATGGAAAATATAAAAATTTAAGAGGTGTGATATCCACACACCTCATTTTATTTCTCACACACCTTTTAATTTTCGGCAGTCAGATCGGATAAATTAAAGAAGGTCAATGAACATAAATTATCAAGAAGTCTGTGAGACGTAAATGAGATGTGTAGTATTGGCAACTTTTGCTGGGAAAGTTTTGGAGGTAGATGAACTTATTGATGAGTTGGAATTGTAAACACAAAACCCAGGGCACACCATCAAATAAATATTTAATCCACTGTGCCCTTACGTATATATAAAAATTGAAGGAAATCATTTAAGGTTTACATCTACTGTGCAAATATAAGGAGGTGTAGTCAAACTCGGATTTGAGAGGATTTTATAATCCATTCAAATCTAAGTGTAATCAATTAAAAGATTTTAAAGTATTTTAAAATCCATTCAAATCTAAATGTATTAAAAAAAATTAAGATTTTGGAGGATTTCAATAAGTTGTAAATTTTGTGGGATTTGAGAGTAAAAAGTATATATAACCAGTAAAAAGAATACAACCTCACCCCCAGGATTTCAAATCCTTCCACCACAATCCACCACAATTCATTCAAATTCTTTAAAATCTATATAAATTTTGTAGGAGTCTTTAATCCTCTTAAATCCTATCAAATCTATCACTTTTAAAATCCTTTTAAATCTTAGTTTAACTACACCCCCTAAGTTTTAAACTAATTTTCCTTCCGTGTTTAATGCATAAGTTCTTCTTAATTTTTAATGCTGATAGTTTTTTATTTATTTTTTTGTTGTCGAAACTGATAGTTTTCTATGTTGTTGTTTAATATGCAGGATCAGGACATCATTTTAGCTATTTTCCTGAAATCGAGCATGCTATGAGCTGCCAAAACAATTCTTGTTGTTGTCCATACATCCCTCAAATGAAATATTTCAAAATGACCGAACGGGTCTTTGGTATGAGATCCAGCTTTTTAACTGCAATCAATGTTTAAAATATCAGTATCGGTAGAAATATCAATAAACAAATTTGTAGAAATATCGATGGATTATTGATTTCGATATCGGCTGCTTTTGATGGAAAACATGAAAATTTAAATTAAACTTGAGGGAATGTCAAACACTGATTTTGACGAAATATAAGAATTTTTTAAATATTTAACCAATATGTCAAAAATATCGATAAAATCTGGCACTTTTAAAATGATTACCTAAAAAAATAATGTCGAAAGTATCAAAGAAATTTCAAACTGACTACAATCAATGACATAGAAAAACAAATATGGTGGAAGTGTTATGCAATTGAATTTGAGTTTTTATGCAACTTAGCTATTGGACAAGAAAAAGTAAAGGATGACATGTTCCATGTTTTGTTCAAAGCTGGACTAAAGATTCCTACTACTGGTTCAGCTTTCAGGAGTAGGTTTTTATACTATATATTATTTATTTTAGTTGGGTAAATATTGATAAATATCTAATATGTTACTGTTTGACAGTTAACATGACAATCAACCGCACATGTTGTTTCTGATGAACTTATTTTCGTACCAGCTTATCAAAGAGATATAGAGACGTCACAAGGGTATACGAGAATGGATATCATTTATTCATGATAAAGTGTGCTTGAGGGAAATGATAAAGCACTAATTATGTTTAAAATTCTCCATGAGTTTACTTTTTTTTAGCCCTTGTTATTGAATTATATGAAATGAAATTCTTTAAATGTCTGTTCAATATTTATTTTGTGTTTTATATACAAACAGTTTCATGGAAAATTCCACTAGCCTTACGCCAAAACTCCTCCGGAAAGTTGATTTATTATAAAATAAAATAAAAAACATCTCAATGACCAGATTGGCGAAATTGAGAAAATGCGAGTGGAGGAACTCTTTTAAAATCCCTTCCTTAACAAAACCTAGAAATAATTGAAAAGAAAATATAAGAAATATAATGCATCTATGAATAGACATTATGTTAAACTGTCGTGGCATATGTGTTGTATTTAATAAGTTTGGTTGTATTTTGAACAAATAATATAATATTTTAACAAGGTTATTAACTTATTAGTATGCCTCATTAATATATAAACTTTGTTTTGTGTATATTTGCTAGTGAGTACATACATTCAAGATCTTGCAAAGATATTGTGGGGTCTTCTGACAACATAGCCTCCCACGTATCCATCAATGCTTTATAAAAAGTTATGAACCGGATGAAAAATCACTATCTCCATATCATCACGTGTAAAGAGTGCTTTAAACATTGTTTGTTTCATAAATAATTTTAAGGTGCATTTCCATTTATTTATATGGATATTCCACCAAAAATTGCTCTGTTGCTGTGTCTTGGTCAACTGTAAAGAGAGGAGGTTTGACTCTTTAAAATTGAGGAGTCTTCCTCAGGATACTTTATAATTGATTTATGGAACTCCGTACTTATGATCGGAACTGTTTATATTATACATCCACTTAGCAAAGATCATTTCTACAAAAAAATCTATTGAAAACAAGGTTGTTTAGTCCCTTAATTATAGCAAATAGACAGACAGTTCATAATTTTTTTACTAGAGGCCACCACACCGGCCTCGGTCTCCAGGCCACCACCTTGATTAAGATCTCGCAGTCGCTCCAGATCTTCCTCAAGCTTGTCCTTTGGAAAGTCTAGGAGTAGTGCATCAGGATGATCGGTCTGGTGATGATGATAGATACACTGCCCGGAGAAAGAAAATTGATCATCAGTAACATGTCCAGGAGTAGTAGTAGTGCTACCCAACTGGTGGTAAAGGGGAGTGTGTCGACATCCAGTGCTGCCAATGGTGATGAGAACACGTCTTCAAAATTCAAGTCCTCCGGTTTGGAGATTACACCATCTTTCAGCCACGGAAAATCAAATACTCCTAATGCCAAGTGGGTTTCTGAATCCGATATTGTATAACTGCTACTAGTACTACTAGTGCTGCTGCTGTCGCTGTTGCTGTTGCTGCTGTATTCAAGGTCGTTTTTTAAGTCCAACATACCGCAGTTAGGATCGACTTAATTTTTCTTTGCATGCTTCTCTAATGAAGAATAAGAAGAAGAAGAATTGTTGTTGTCTTCATCTCCTTCTCTTACTCTCTGTTTGCTGTCACACTCCATGATTTTTAACACGAAACCCTCCCTGCTAATGAAAAATTACGTACATATAAATCACTATCAAGATACTTCGACAAAGAAAAATAAAAATATCACGATATATGGACTATTAAATATTAATACAATGAAACAAACTTAGGGAGAGTTAGCAAGTGCAACGCTCCTCTTCTGATTTGATTTACGGGTTTAATTCGTCCACAATATATATGAGGAAAATACATAGCAAAAGAATGCACAGCTAACAATGTTAGTGCTAATACAAACGGGAAATTTTTCACACAACTTAAAGCTTAAAGTTGATTCATGAGCAAGGACACATGCTAATTAAAATCAGGTGGCTAGGCTACGGGTCAAATTATTAGCTAGATGCTTAATTTAAAAGTGGCAAGGAAACATACGTATATATACAGAAATTTTGAAAATATATAAAGCGAATGCATGAGCTGAATGCAAGAAAAAGATGAACCCTAAAAAGTGTGACCTTGAGATTCAAAGACCAAATTGAAGTGGTATTAAAGAGCGAGTCTGACCTGATGGTAATGCTGAAACTTTGAATATCAAATCTATCTAAGGGTCATGCAAATGCTAGTGCTACTTATCGAAACATGTCATTCATTACGTACCTGTATATTGGGCTTAGGCTGAGGTTGAGGCAGTTTGTATATCTGAGTTGTTGTTAAATGAATGTAACACCTGCTGGCTTAAGAAGAATGGTGATTACAAAAGAGTTTTGCTCACAAGCTATGCAATTTTCAGCTAAACCATCTCTAAGCACACGTAAACACACGCAGACTTCCATCACCCTTTTTACCCGCCCATCTCTTCCCCTTTGCAAGAATGAAATGAAACAGATGGGTTGGGTTAGTTCCTCCTTTTGTGCTCTGTTCCTTTCTTTCTTGCCTCTCTATTTTTTCAGTTTCCAACTTTCCAAATACCACAGGCAATCAGCACATCCAATCTTTTTCTACCTTGCTGTTTCTTCCTCTTTTTGTCTCCACTAGTTTTGCCATGTCGTACAATTTCGTTCAGAAAAAGCAAAAATAATGCAAAAGCAATCAAGTTCATTCTATTTTATTGTCTAACAAAACTAGGTATTAACTCATAGCAGATCCTGATCTCCATCTAACAAAGAAATTGAACTGACTCTCTGTAGGATTAGAAAAGGAGTGAAGGTATCCACAGTTGAATTCAAGAAATAAAAAGTTCATCAATTGTATATTTTTATTTTTATTTATTTATTTATTTATTTTGAGAAGAAACTAATTCATCAATTGTATTCAAGAGAAGAAATATAGAAATTCTGCATATCTTAGTTGTAAAATAGGATATAAATTGAATCTTTTACAGGGCCCTTCGTCGGTTGTTGCCCTTCAGAGTTCACCGTATGCAGAAACCTTACATGTCGTCAGGTAGTATTCATGATCTTCAATACACCAGAAAAAAAAATAACTTGCATCTCACCTTTTTGTCTCTGTGTCGTCTATTTTTGGTGTTCATAATTCACAGCATTTCAGCACACATTTTTCCTAGCATAGCCCATGAGGTAACAACTGCGCAAATAACATTTCGCTACCTAGAACTTGAAGTTGCTTCTGGAAGGCACCATTGGCATTAACCATTTTACAATTTGTGTGTGTAGAAGTCTCAATTTCCTCTTCTCACTTTAAAGAGGAAGCTTTTTTCATCACAGATCACAAGCACGTAAAACACAGGGGACTCGAACATGAACAGCCAGGTAATGGGTTAATTTTGTATGCAATGCAACTAGGACCATGAAATTAGCACTACCAGTAGTCCCCACAAGAACAAGAGCCATCACGGAAATGATGGAACCGATTGGTGTCCCTCACAATGATTTCTCTCCCTTCTACCTTCGAAACGAACTTGATTGCTGAATGACAATCACCACAAACCCTGATGTTCTTCTTAATCCGTATGGTGGAGCCAGGAGGAGTGTTAAGAAGTGCAAATGCTAGAGCAAGCTTCTCACTATGGTACTGCAACTTGAATTCCCTCTCCTGCTGGTCCACATAGAAAAGTACGTGGCTAGTGTCTGGGACGTATCCAATCTCCTTTATCTTCATGCTAATCATCTCCCACATCCTAAGGATCTCTACTCTTTGCGGATGAGCATCATCGTTCGCTACAAACATGTGGACCGCATTCTCGATGTCCACCCAACTACAAGCAGGTTCCTTTTTCACCCCACCCTCTTTCATCTTCTTCCTCACGTTTGCTGCGTCAATCCATCTGCCAGCAGAGGCATAGATATTAGAAAGTATGACATGGGGCCCTGAATCATGGGGATCCAGCTCAAAACTACGTTCCGCAGCATAAGCACCCAACTCTATGCTCTTGTGCATCCTGCAAGCACCTAATAAGGCTCCCCAAACAGCTGCAGTAGGTTCAATCGGCATTTCTCTTATGAACTTCTCAGCTCGATCAAGCAGATTTCCACGACCAAGAAGATCAACAATCGTCACATAGTGTGAAACCTGTGGTTCTATGTTGTACTGTTTCATCAAGTCAAAATAATATTGTCCTTCATCCAAGAGACCGGCATGGCTACAGGCAGTAAGAACACAAAGAAAGGTTATATCATTAGGTTGGATTCCAATTCTCAACATTTCTTCAAACCGTTGCACAGTTTCCTTTCCAAGCCCATGCTGGGCATATCCAGTAAGCATTGAATTCCAAGAAACGACGTCTCGTCTAACCATCCTATCAAAAACCTTTTCTGCATCCTCAATGCTGCCTGATTTGGCATACATATCGAGAAGAGTATTCCCCACAAAAGCGACGAGGGTAACAGCCGATTTGATCATGTGGGCGTGAACCCACTTCCCTTGCTCTAGAGACCCTGCACTAGCACAAGCAGTCAAGACGCTAGAATAAGTGAAATGTGTAGGTTTGAAGCCCTCCCTCAGCATCTTCCAGAACAACTTGAGTGCATGCTCTCCTTGAGCCTTCCTAGCATGCCCAGCAATCAAAGCATTCCAGGACACCTCATTCTTGGTGTCCAAGGCATCAAAGACCAACTGGGATTCATCCATATGGCCACACCTAGCATACATGTCCACAAGAGCAGTGCCCACATAGACATTGGAATCAAGACCGTACTTAAAGCAATAAGTGTGAAGCTGCCTGCCATGGTTGTCATCAGAGACAGCACCAGAAGCTTTCAACAAGCTAGACAAGGTGAACTGGTTGGGTTCCAGCCCATGGCGGAGCATCTCAGGAAACAAAACAAGGGCATCCTGAGGTCGATCGTGTTGAGAATAGCCAGAAATCAAGGCAGTCCAAGTGACCAAATCCTTGTGAGGCATTTGATCGAACAGGTTGTGAGCATCGTCCAAACTGCCACATTTGACATACATGTGAAGGATGGTGTTGCGGATGGGAAGGTCATCTTTAAATTGAGAAGTAAGGATGTGTGAATGCACAATTCTGGCTTGTTTAAGTTGGGCTGTCTGGGTGCACCGGTGTAGCAGCTTATTGTACAGAGTCCGGTCCGCTTCCAAAGAACCACAATTTACCAAGTCAAGAACATGAAGCCCTGTTCCTGAAATATGGAGGCTGCTGCGGAGAAGGTCCTTGTCTTGGATGATACGAGAAGCAAACCAGTCTTCGTCTTCTGAAGTTTCAGAGTCTTCATCCCCAATTAATTTGGCGCACGAAGCCTGAGTTGCAGACAATGTCCCAAACCGTGCTGATAATGAAAAGAGTTTTTGAATGCCAACAGCAGCGGCAGCATTGTTGTAGTTGTACAGAAACGGCAAGGCCTTGGATCGACTTCCCAAAATATGTCTCTTCATTAGATTACATCGGTTCATCAATATGGACTATGGACGTGTGTAGATACAAACTTTCTGCCACAAAAAGTCCACCAGTTGTTTCAATTTCAACTCTCATTTCTGCAACCCAACAACCTGCACAAAAGGATTCCCTCAAGTCAATGTATAATCAAATACAACCCAGCTGCATCACAATTTGTTACAAACTGATAACACCTTAAGATTCATTCCCGCACATCCAAAGTTCTGTTCCAGCAAACAAATATGCCTTAAAACAAACAAGTTCAACAGATTAACCAAACAAATAGCATTCTCACGGTACGTAAAAAATAAAAAATAAGAACGCCCATTTTTCAAGAAAACCCGACAGCATAAGTGTTAAAACGAACAACGACTGTTAATAACTTAATATATATGTGTGATTGTGTATACCAAAGCAATGAACCAAGGTAAATTTCATTAATAACACAAAGAGAATTAATCTTACATGACTAAACCTATAAAACAAAGGCAGCACTCCAGAGTATGGCGGTTATTCCACTAAATATAACATTGATATCTCACTATTCAATAAACAGAACAGAAAATTTACTTCCCACACTTGATACTTTTATGTTTAAATACCATTACATATTGCTTTTTTCTTCATCATCGGCCACCCATGACATGAAGGTGCAGAGAAGCATTGTTACAATACATTATTGTATTACCAGACACAAAATTTAGGAACTTATTCAACTCCTTCCTCATACATCGTGTCTTGCCTCTTTTGAATTTGCATCGAACTCTTATCCATATCATCATAAGCACTAAGACTAGATAAAAAATAGTAATGAAAATTAACAACATATAAAATACCAAATGAGACAAAAAACAGCGCAAAAAATCTTCCTAGCAGCCAACAGTAAGTATCCATGGTTGAGTTAACCGCAACCCAAATGTTTTTAGTTAATAAGATCAAGATAAATATAAGATATTTACCTATATATTTAGAAACAAGTCAAATGGACATGGCATTTACCCATATACTCCCCCAATATGCATCTCTGATAACAACCTTAAAAGCCAAGAAATTTAATAAATACGTAGAAGCCCACTAACCTGGACACTACTTAAATTTTTAAGATGAGAAATCATAAATAAAACCATGTCCAAAGCAAAGAAAAGTGATATGAATCCTGTAAAAAAAAATACATTTCATAAGAAGATGGCAACACTGAGTACTTTTATAGCTGTTAAAAATATATATATTAACGTTAACAGATTTAAATAGAAGATGAGAAAGAAAGAAAAGCTATTGATTAACTTGAATGAATCCTATAGTCTGCAAATTTCAGTAATAAATAATAAAGAAAAGGAGAGCACATATAATGGAAACAGTGAAACTGTAATCGTCCTGACTTGCCTATTTCAGTTGCATAAGGTTTTGATATCATCCAGATCCCAGATTTTCTTCAGGTCTAGCACTCCCCTAGTTAAACAATATTTCTTAAACAAAAGACAACCTTTTTCATGAAAAAAAAAAAAAAGGTAACATAGACTGGCAAGTCGCACATATAGAGAGAGCGAGAGAGGGAGAGCCAAATGAACTAGTATAATATCGACCTAAATAATCACCCTTTAAGTTCCTTTCATGTACCGTTCATAAATTGACTTCAGTATTAGCTAGGACAACTGTTTGACATAACAAGATATCTTAGGGACCGCAAAACTTGAATTTTTACTATTTAAGCTGATTAGCTATGAAGATAAATTTCTGTACGAAAGACCCATAAATTTCCCCACTTATGCTAAAAGATAATCAACAAAATCAACTTTCATCGCATTTGAACCTAAATCATGGTTAACATAGCATAGTTACCATTTCTTTTTATTATTACTAAGATTTGCAGACTACGGGACAGCCAGATGGACTCGTATAACATCGACCTAAATAATCACCCTTTAAGTTCCTTTCGTGTACCATTCATAAGTTGACTTAAGTATTAACTAGAATAACTGTTTGACATAACAAGATAACTTAGGGACTGCAAAACTTGTATGTTTACTATGTAACCTGATTAGCAATGAAGATAAATTGCTGAACAAAAGCCTCATACATTTCTCCATTTATGCTAAAAGATAACCAACAAAATCAACTTTCATCACATCTGAACCTAAATCATGGTTACCATTTTATAGTTACCACTTCTTTTATACTGAGATTTGCCGGCTATGAGACCACATAAATACTGATACCAACGAGAAATACCTTCGGCTTGCTTTCGGGTTTTACAGCGGCTGCAGGTACATATCTTCCTTTGACAACTTCATATGTGCTACTTTGTATTTCCTTGTAGAAGCACAGGACTGGATAATTTCTAGCACTCGGTGTCGAATGCGGGCCTGCATTTGTATCCAAATCATCTGTAAATGGAACAGGAATTAATCCTAAACAATATCAAAGCAATAAATTGAAATCCCCAATTCCCAATCCTCAAATAATTGGAACAAAAATCCCAACTCTAATTATCCCAAGTCTAATAAAATCCAGTCCACTAACATCTGAACATTGACAGTGAGAACTTACCAACTTTTGAGCAACTCACATCAGAAGAAAAAGTGAATTGAGAAACTAAGAAATCGTGGTGCAAAACTCAAAAAATCTGAAGGAAAAAAAAAACTTAATTTGGTTCCGCTTCGCTTCAGTACGCTCTAAACAAAGAGAACAGGGCGGGGTTTTGATTAACAATGTAAGGTATCAAGACCTATGGCGTCATGAAAGAAGGGAGGGTTTACGGCTTCTCAGGAGCAACAGGTGAAGCAAAGGGATGTTTGGTTTTACAATTTTAATTAACATTTTTATATTTTATTTTTTTGGTTTCAAGAGAATAGTTGGTTTTCGCTAATACTTACTCTAGTAAAATTCAAATATTAGGTTCTAAATGTCTTCTAATCTACTTTAATCATTCGACCAAATATGATTTTTAACCCAAAACTCATTTTTAAGATAAATTTTGACCAGAATTTTACAAAAGATCTTACGGTCCAAATTTAAATTCAGTAGTTAAAATAATTATAAAAAATTATTTCATGTGTCACATCCTCGCCTGGGACGGATCACTTCCCGGGCCCGTTCTACCACCGTAGCACGATATTGTCCGCTTTGAGGTTACCATTCTCTCACGGTTTTGTTTTTGGGAACTCCTGGGACGGATCACTTCTCGGGCCCGCTCCACCACCGTAGCACGATATTGTCCGCTTTGAGGTTACCATTCCCTCACGGTTTTGTTTTTGGGAACTCACGAGCAACTTCCCAGTGGGTCACCCATCATGGGATTACTCTAGCCCCCTTCTCACGGTTTTGTTTTTGGGAACTCACGAGCAACTTCCCAGTGGGTCACCCATCATGGGATTGCTTTAGCCCCCTTCTCGCTTAACTTTGGAATTCCTACGGAACCTGAAGCCAGTGAGCTCCCAAAAGGCCTCGTGCTAGGTAGGAATGAGAATATACATTTAAGGATCACTCCCATGGGCGATGTGGGATGTCACAATCCACCCCCATTAAGGGCCCGACGTCCTCGTCAACACACACGCAACCAGGGTTAGGCTCTGATACCAATTGTCACATCCCGGCCCGGGACAGATCACTTCCCGGGCCCGCTCCACCACCATAGCACGATATTGTCTGCTTTGGGATTACCATTCCCTCAATGTTTTGTTTTTGGGAACTCACGAGCAACTTCCCAGTGGGTCACCCATCATGAGATTGCTATAGTCCCCTTCTCGCTTAACTTCAGAGTTCCTACGGAACCCAAAGCCAGTGAGCTCCCAAAAGGCCTCGTGCTAGGTAGGGATGAGAATATACATTTAAGGATCACTCCCCTCGGCGATGTGGGATGTCACATCATGTGTTTCACATTCTTTCATAGTGTTCTACGAGATACATGGTGTCAATTTAGTGATTTTTCAATATTAATCGGAATCTAAATATTTTTAGGTTACAATGTTTATAAAATTAAATTATGAAAGTCTGCATAATTTTTTTTAAGTTACATTAAGAATAAATTATCGTAAATTCATGCTTTAATAATCTCGAGCTAAAAATTTAATCTAGAAAGGTTGGAGTAGATGTTTCTGGGTAAAAAATTTTAGTTTTTATTTTATTTTATTTTAAAAGACGATAACTTAGTGGTTAAATGTTAGATTAGAGAGCCGACATGTTTCAAACCCACGCCGAGATGCAATGACATAACTTTCTTCCACCACTGTGATAAAGGACCACTTGCAAAAAAATTTAGATTTTAATCCAAAGGTTGGAGATTATTTAAAGATGACTAGGTTTACCAAAACCCGCGTACCAATTCCGTACTGTATGGTAAAATTGGTATGGTATGCTTCATAAGTTGGTACGATAATATTGGTAAAAAAATTTACGTAGATCGTTTTTATTATTTTTTATTGGGATCGTCTTTGAATATGTTTTGTTGGACTAAAGCCGAAGGGAAGAACAATATGGCAGTATTTGAGGATGGGGTTCGAATTGATGGAGGGGCGGAGCCAAAAAACTAGACTAGGAGTGACCTTTGAGCATACAAAAGATTGCAATGTAATTAATGGGAGAAAAATTAAAAGTTTTGCTTTTTTATATATGGTGGAGCTCTAAGTTTTGTATGAAAAAAAAACTATTCTTGAAATGATTATATCATAAATCAAAACTTGTTTATGAGTTTTGATAAAAAAAAATAAAAAATAAAAAGCATTAACACATTAAATTCAAACAACAATTTAAAGTCATTACTTAAAATTAAGATTATGCTTTAGACTGTATTTGCCTTTGTTTAATATCAACAAAGAGGGTATGATTTTTATATGTTAAAACATAAGGCTAATTATAACAAAAAAAAAAAAAAAGAGCTTAGTTTTAATATGGTAAAACAAGGCAAAATATAAGGGTATTTTTATTCTTTCAGTTAAAAAAACAAAAAACAAAATACTAGCAAATCTTGAACCATGGCCACTTGGAATTGCAAAATCCCACTAACCAATGATTCATATGCTCATTTTTGCAAAAACTCGTAGAAAGTATGTACAAACGGCTGATATTCCAGGATAGGCCTGGGCCAATAGTAGATTCTATGTGGACCACTTTGACGAAGCTTAGTGTTACATTTAGATGGAGAAGTTGTGAATGTTGATGTGCGTAATGAAAAACTACCATTGACTTGCTTCATGTGTGGTATGATGAACCATATTGAGGAACAAAGTGAGAAGTAAGTTCAAAGGAAAAAACAATGATGATCGTTCGAAACCATATGGTAGGTGGTTTCAAGATGATCTTTTGGTCTCGGATTACAAGAAACCTCTGGGATGAAGGTTTGGCCTTGGAATTACGAAAGTGCGGTCCATAAGGGCTTATTGTCCACAAGTGCGGTGCATAAGTGCAGTCACTAACGTTCGAAGGAGGTTTAGTAGACATAAATGGTATGACTAAGCAGATTCAGGGAATGTTGGATTAGTGTGGGTCACAGCTTGATCTTCTGGACTTTAATGAGGCACCGTCATTAAATGATACAATTAAGAATCATTTGGCAATTATTTCTTTTGGGGAAGTGAATGGGTTCACTGAAAGTCAACACAATGAAAGTCTTGACAAAGTTAATTCTAGTGGATCATTATGTGTAGAGCACAACTAGGAGTTGAAACTGTTTGGTGCATCAATCTTGGTGAAAAAATCTTAGGCACCATACGAGGGGTATCAAGAATAGTGGCTTAGAGGTGAGGGTAGTGTCCAGGATTTTACCCTTGCTATTCTTATGTGGGTCAGGGCATACAAAGCAAGTTAGCAAGCCTAACGAGAAATTTGATTTCAAGGCCAACACATGGGATGGCACCAGAGCTATCAATAAGTTCTAATCCATTTAATTTACCATCATTTATCTACGAAAATAACGGGTAAAAGGAAGTAGAAAGCAGTATGGAAGTAGCACTCGAAGGAAAAAAGAAAGCAAACAACCGGGTTTCTTGAAGTTCAGCAAGCGATTTGTGCATGAGAAGGATGAATGGTGGATATACATGCATCCAAAAAAAAGGTTTGTATCCCATGCTTCTATTAATTTTAGAACGGTGGTGGCTGACGAGTCTCAACCTCGCCATCAACAATGAGTTGCATCAGTTGGAATTTATGGGGCCATGGGAACCTCCAGGCAATTCGTGCCCTAAAAAGACTAGTTTTCGCAAAAGACCAGTTACATTTTCAATTTATGTTTAAAGTACCAAGTAGGGGGCGTTAAGATGGTTTGCGTGTGATGTGGAAATATGACGCCAACTTAGCTCTAAGATCTTAGTCCCAGATTCATATTAATCTGGAGGTAGGAGGCTTTGGAGTTTGTTACATTAGAGGTTGACTTTTTTCTATGGTTATGGAAGTTGATCAACATAAGTCTTGCAATTGTTGGAGTTACTTAATGCCAATTCAACTTTGCCTTAGTGTTGCATTGGGAACTTTACATAAGTTTTAAAACCTATGAACAAGGAAGAGATATACGTAGGGAGCGGTAGATAATGAATTTTCACAATGCAATGATGCCTTGTCAATTAAAAGATATGGAAGTAGGGGAATAAATTTACATGCGCAACAACACTTGATGGGGAGTTAAAGTGAGGTTAGTTCGTGCCTTAGTTACTCAAGCATGACTCGATTTATTTCCAGGGTTCAAGGTGATTTATTTAAACCCTATTTTCTCCGATTACATTATGTATTGATTGAATGGGCAACAACAAAAAGAGAAAAGAGAAAGAAAATGTTCAGATATGAGTAAGGGTGGGCATTTGAAATCGAAAACCGAAACCGAAACACAAACCAAATCGGACCGCACCAAACGGTTCAGTTTTGCGATTTTGAAACTGTTGCGGTTTTGAAACCGAACTATAGTGTAGGAAACAGTTTGATTTTGGTTTTGACTTTTGAAAACCGTATCGAAACCGAAACCGCACCTCAAATTAGATGTCATGTTTTAATTGGTTGTTTGTTAGAGTTCATACATTTAGTATGAACTCAACCACACTAGAATGTCATCCATTTCCACCCCTATTCGACAGACTTTCAAATTATTCCTCAATCCTCATCGGTTTCTCTCTCTCTCTCTCTTTCGCAAAACTCATTTGAGATTCGACGACCTTAGTGCAATGCTCTCGCTCGCTGCTTTTATCCTTCTCGGTCTCATCTGAAACTCCGAATATCCTTCCTCTTCACGAAAGCCCTGCAACATGCAAACCCTAACATTATCAATACATCAGCTTTCTTCATAAACTAGAAAGTTGATTTGTTTAATGAGGATACATTTATATATATGCACATGTGAATTATTTTTCCTAAGTTGCCATCTTCAATCTTTCAAATAATAAGCCACAACACTCTATTTGGGTGCTTTTTCTTGCTCACAAAGTCTATCGTTTAGGCAATTAGCTAGCTAGGCTAAGCTAGTTGATTATATATCATTCTCCTATACCATTTTCTTGCTGTGATCAAATGTACATGAGAGAGTGGGGAGAGCAATAAAGAAAAGAATTCTCATGTGGGTTGGTTAATTAATGTATTGTGTGAAAAATAAGATTGTCTTATGCGTAAATTGGTGTAAATTTTAAATTATACATTTTTTCACAAAATCGAACCGTAACCGTCTGAAACCGCACCGAACTGAACCAAACGATTTGGTTTCATTTTGGTTTTGGCTTCAAAACCGCACCTCAAAAAGTTTCAGTTTTGGTTGCGGTTTCACTCAAAACCAAACCAAACCAAACCGTGCCCACCCCTAGATATGAGTGTTGAATAGCGAAAGAGGTTGCT